CCTCAGTCTTTTATTTCTCATCCAGAGAAAAGATTTTTTTTTTAATTCCCCTCATCCTAATCATTTGAGGGTTTCATTTTGTGGTGTGATGTGACATCAAAAATAGTTGTATCTGCATAAGCAAAGGGATAGTGAATTATCCTGTGAACAGCAATGAGGTAAAGGAGAAGTTGACGTTATGCACAGTAAGTCATCTTCCCTTGAACCACATGGCTGCCAAAGCTGGTGGGGAAGTCTTTACTGTTGGGTCACCTGAATGTGCTTCTGCTTTGTCTGTGCTCCTGCTGTCAGGTGAAACTGGCCTCTCCATATGTATTTTGAATGGAAGCAGTCGGTGCACTGTAAATCTCCATCTGTGTTGCTGGTAGTTGTTCTAAGTGTTGATGATGATGTTTTGGTGGTCCAGGAACTGAACTTAAGGTGCAAGTAGGCTGTTGTGGGTTTCATTTCTATGGTACTAGAGATCAAGTCACTTTGTAGATTGTATGTGAAATTGATGTTTTTTGGATCCTGATAATAAGCGAGTCCTGATAATAATCAAGATCCTGATAATAACCAGCTGCGGTGGCCTTGGCAAGCCAAGCACCCTTGTGCAGAGCTGCACGCGAGAGGGCTGCCAAGGAGGAGTGCACTGCAGAGGTGGTCACCAGGCCAGGAAGCGGAAGGCTTTCCCCAAATTATATTTGTGGGAGGAAAACGCAGGCAAGGGGAGCACAGCAGAAAGGGATTTGGCACTGGCACCCGCTGCTGGGCTTGCACAGCCTCGCCGGAGCATGGAGGGGAGCTCTCCGTTCAGCATTTAGCTGTTTGTGCAGCTCTCAGTGTCTCCATCTCTTCCTCCACGAGGAATGCAGTCGACACGCGTGCCCTTCTCATCTCCCATGCACATAGATAGGTAAACATTACTGCGTGGCAGAAATCTTTCCTGGATCACAGAGGCCGGCATACTTATATGTCAACATGAAAATTGATAGTCCTTTTATTGTTTTGTTTTTATTGTAGCTAGTTTAGGTGCAGATAATATTCCAGTTGCTAGAATATAGCACAGGATCACTGCCAACCTTTGAATTAAGCAGGAGAGCCTTATTCACTCTGCAAATACCCCTCACCCTTTGTGTCCCATGCAAGATCCATTGCTGGTTTCTCCTCATCTTATTTTCCTGGGTGTTTTACAATAATATCACAAGCTTCTAAAGCATTTTTTTCCTTTCAGTGTGGAAAGCTTGATCATCCTTTGTTAGGTGCTAATCTCTCCTTAGTTTCTCTTCCCTTTTCTCCTACCTATTTCAATTCTTTCTTTATCTTGCTGATACAGTAATTTTTTACTAACCTGTTTTGTTAGGCATCACACTGCACTATGATGTTGTGTTTTGCTTTCTTTTTGCCCCTTCTCTGCCTGCGAGCACCCATCATTTGTGCACTGTTTTATAGCAATGTCGTAACACTCGCCTCAAAACCAAGATGTCTATCATACTTGAGAAGTCAGTTCTCCAGTGAAAAAAAAGTGTTTATTTATGTAGTTGTGTGTGTGTGTGTGTGTATATATATATATATAATACATATAATAAAAAATATATATTTTGTTTGGTACTGAGAGAATTGCTAGAGCATCACAGCTATTCCTCTGTTTCCATCTTTTCCTTTGCATTGGCACCAACACGGTGCAGGGTCTTCTAAGTCAGGTTGCACAAGTGTTGGGAAGCTTTGAGATGGTCATCTCCATTTCAGAGACAGCAAAGGCCCCAACCTCATGGATTTCTTGCAATTTGCTCTTGTTACAACCTCCCAAAGCAGTTGTCAAGTTTCCTGCTGCTTTGCACAGTTTTGTATCCTTCTACTTGCCTGCCAGAGCTGTAAGTGGGATTAGCAGGTCTCAACTCTTATGCAACTCAGATATCAGGGAAACATAATCTGGCTTTGTCCAAAAAAAAAAAAAAAAAAAAAAAAAAGCTTTGCTGAAGTTATGTGAGCAAAAATTTCCTGTAGCAATGAGATAGCTCTAGCCAAGGGAATTTCAAAAAAAGTGTATAGGACTCCTCTAAGAGTATTCCGAATTAATTTCTCACTTCTGCTACACCAAGATTCCAAATATCTGGAAAATTTTATTTTCTAGAAGTGAGAAGTAAATAGAAGGTTCAAAATATAAAATAAAAATGAGACAATTAAAAGCAGTTGCTAGCTAGTTTTGACACACTACTGCCTGCCAGAAACGTGTTGTTTTGGTGCAAAGCTTTTTTGTTTGTTTGCTTCTCAGAAGGGTCTCTGCATGAAAAATATTTGCTTTCTTGGAGATACCCAAAGAAATATTTCTGTAGAGCTCAGATCACCTTCATAACATTGGTCAATAATGAAAAATAGATTGTTACTTGAATATAAACTTGTGTCTATTCCCACTTGACCTCTCCTTTTTAACCTTGCTTGGAAGCAGTTGCTGTTTCTAGGAATCTTATACAGTTTCTTGGGCATTCAAAGAACAGGGATCATATAAATCTCCTGGGAAGTTACTGCTTGTTCATAGATATGGTACATAATAATGCAGAGTCAAATCTGATGATTTGAATTCAAGTAAGAAATAGACAACTTCTTGTACATCTTTAGTCTAACATGAGGCAGTGAATTGCCTTATTCCACTGAATTAATAGAGTATTTTCAGGGCATGAGTTATGAGTTGTGGAACAGCTCGTCAAAAACCACCCTACTATCTAGTGTCTCTTACACCTCAAGAAGCAAAACAAAACTGAAGAATTTGCATATATCAAAGTTCAAGCTGGCTTACATCAAGACAGGAAGGGTAGCACTTCACTGTTCGAGACAGCTTTTATTGCCTGTTTTTAGTCTTATATCTTAAAAAGCAGTATTCTTTCTGTGACAGCTGAAATAAGTTATATTACTCAAATGTCTGGTGTGCTTTTTTCATATGTACTTTAATAATAATGCCAGTTAGACGTTAGCATTTTGAAATACCAGTGCTGAACTCGACCTGAATGCTTCAGAGGGCTAGCTTGTGAATGGTGCATGTATGAGGCTGTTGGTCAGGTTGCATTTGAAAAAAAAATTATAAGAGTAACCTGATTTTTCTTAACTGATATTAATTAGCTTAATATTTTTCAGTATTTTAACATTAGGGTACCATTCTTTTTTATTGGAAGTAAAGGTTTTAAATGAAACTTTAATCATTTCACTAGTCATAATTGGAATTTGCAGGGTCTTCATCTCCACAGAACCTCAGGGCTGTAGCCAATATTGGAAGTAATTTCTGTGCCCACCTATAAGAAGAAATACAGTGACCTAATTAAGTGGAAAAAATGCTAGACTGTATTAACGGATGAAAATGCAATTAAAGTAGGTTACCCACCTACAAAATAAAGTTTCCACAACCCCAAACATTAGCTTCCCGCTGTTTCATTACAACCTAAAGGCAAAGATAGATAAATTAAGCCTGATTAGTCTCAGTGGCATAAATTAAGAGTACAAGCTAGCAGGAGGGATTATTCTACTCTTAAATTTAATTCTCCTTTACCATTATTGTAGAGCACTGCAGCCAGTTCAATTCTGTGTTTAAATAAAGTTGGTTGTTGCTGAAGACTCTCTGGAGGCCTCACTATTGTGGGATTTGTAATTATTCCCCCACTAAAAATGTCAGAGAAATCCTCCAGATTTAAGGTTGATGTAAGATAAAGGAACTGGACAAACGGATGTTTCCATCATGCACCTAGCAAGCTTGCAAGGGACCAAAGAAGCCGAGTGAAAAATTCCCTGTAGGCCACGCAGTGCCCAAGAGCCCCATTGGGTTGGGGGCACCAACCTGGGCTGTGGCGCTGGTGAGGACCCATTCCTGGCTGGTGCTCTTGGTGGTCCCAAACGTGGCCAGGCGATCAGGAGCCAAGCACTCTGCTGCTGTCGGTGTTGCTTTCTACAGCTGTGCATATAATGAAGTAGAATTAACACAGGCTTTAAAAATGTCATTTTTCTCTTTGATTCCGATTAGTATTTCAAAAATGGAGAGTATTTAATCTCTGGAAAAAATCATAGGCACCGTGGTATCAACATGACTGAGAACGGAGATATTTAAGATTTCAGGCATGTACTGATTTTAGCCTGAAAGTGTCTTGACTAATCCTCCATTATGATTATTATAAAATGTCTACATCTGCTTCACCCTTTCTCTATCAATTTTGCATTTAAAACTTGATATAATTTGCTAGTGGAGTAGAGCTGAATCACAGTCTAGAGTGGAATTTACAATTTTCGCCAGTGAGTGAAATTCGATATAAGATTCCAAGAAAAGCTACTTACAGACCAATTGCAGTATAATCACATCACTTTAAATTCGTGCGAGAAAATGTTACGGTAATCTTGAATATAGTGATATAAAACTATTTCTTGGGATTCTAAGAATAAAACACTGTCATTATGCTAAGAAATGCTTAGAGTAATGCTTAGACAGCTTACATAAATATGGGATGTAGCCGTGATTAACCCCATGATTGTATGAGCGTAATGGCCAGAGGAGGAAAGTGAAATGAGTATGTTCATGTGGCAGAAGCAATTCTATATCTGTGGTTTGTCCCCCCACACATCCAAAAAAAAAAAAAAAAGTAAAAATATCCTTTGTATCACTGAGAAAGAGACTGTAGGGGATAAAAGTGTGGTGGTATAGGGGTGTCTTTTAGTCCTGGTGAGTCGTGGGAGAGGAGTGGAGAGAGACTTGGACAAAGAAATTGTTTCTGCACTGAACAACATATTCCTTCCACAACGTGTATGTCTGCTGTGGTTTATCCCAGTAACAAATAGGCATTCGCATAATGATGAAAATAGCTCCAGAGCTCATCACTGGGAAAAAGTCTGGGTTAAAAAGCAAAGAAAAAACATGTTCAAATATTAATGCATAAACAACAACAAAAAAAAAAACAAAAAACACTCCTAACTAGAGTGGCCTCTCCTTGGCTTTGTAACTAAGTGTGTTTATCTTAACATTTGGTCTCTTCATGTGTTTTAAGCTTCAGGCTACAACAGGGTGTGATGATAGAGATTGCACATTATGGCTCTTTGAAGTAACATCTGTGGGTCTCGTGAAGCTGGGTTTTATGTGAAACTTGGTTGGTCTAAGGTTTATATTTGTATTAATCTTCTACAGAGGAGAAACAGTTTATGTATGCGTTTGCTGAGATACCCCCTGAATCAGTTCTCAGTTATACTGCCTTTGGAGTCCAGGTGGGCAGAATGGAAAATGCATTTTTGTCTACAAAAAGCTGAAATGGTGAATTGAAGCTCTTTGAACATGTGTAAGCAAAACATTGGCTATGCTTGTCTTGGAGAGGGCTTTCAAGATAAAAACTAATTTTACAACACCTTAACTTTGTGTGAATATTAGGATCAAGAGTGTGCTTTGGACTACATTTAATATGTATCCATTGAAACATGGAATAAGTGTCATTGAACATCTATCTTATATTGAATTGCCTTGACTGTCAATCAGCAAAATAATACTGTGTATATTCATACAAAGTTACTTCTTGCATATAAAAATTTTTATCGACCGTATCCTTCTTAAAGAGATGTGAAAATGTCTAACATGAGACCATTAAATATTCCTTTCATTACTGTTCCTAAAACTAGCACAGTATCATACTTGGCAAAATATCATTCAGTTACTGCTTTTGGCCATGGAATTCACTGAAGGAGTTCATATTAAAGAGTTTGGCTGGAATTAGAGAGATTAACTCAGTGTTTTTTATTATTATTGTCAAAGTTATTACTTGCTGGCTGAAAGCTTTTAAAGTAATTTCAAATATTTTCATTCTAATTGCTTTCCTAAAACTTTTAAATCTACAGTATTTGCAAACAGTGTGTCTGACAGCGATTTGAGGATATATGAATAAAATATAAAGATGTCTGTTTTCTTTAGGACATTGCTCAAGTATTTTATTCCACTGCGATTTCTTTTCTGGCTGTAAGCATAGAGAATGCATTAAAAAAAAAGTTAGTGCTGAAGACATTTAAGACTCAAATATAGGAATCTGAATGGTCCCACTGAATTAAAGGCTTTTAAGATTTTAAATATCAAAAGACTGTCAAATGTATGATTGTGCAGACACTTATGTACAGATTTAATAATTAATGAACCAGTAATGAGATTATTCATCTGTCTGAAATTCAGCATCGGGGATGTGACTGCAGCACTAGGGGCTGAGATCCACCTGCTTTAACATGCTGTGTCCTGTATGTTGTGGGCTAGTTGCTTGTCATGGACGTGCTCCTCAGCAAGTGCAGCTCTGTGGCGCAAGACCCGCTGCAGAAACCTCTTTTGGTGGCTGTGGGGCCTGTGTGGCTGCACAGCTCAGCAGAAGGCAGGAAACCTGTGGAATATCGTAGAGAAATTGTTGTGGAAGAAACTCATGGAATTAACCGCTGTGTGTAAGTTCTGCTAGCTGGACAGAGTGAGACCAACACTCCCCAGGTGGTTTTCTCACACGTGCACTATGATCTCCCAGTGGAGACTTGCAGGCAGAAGCTACTAGGGAAGGAACCTAGTCCAGGAGATACTGTCCCTTGAAAATAAGAGCAATATTGTAATGGATCTCAGAAAGCTAATTTCTGTCGTACTGTGCTATTATAATTACTTAGTATACATTTGCTGTGAGCATGTGAATTGAAAGGCTCAAGGGCCAACTTGCCGCATATAATACCTGCTAACTTGCAGTCTGGAGCATCAACATCTTCTACAACACCTGTATCTTTGGATAACAAAGATACATTCTTTGTGTGTCTATGCACACAGCGTGTGTGTACGCGGAGCGCGTTGTCTGCTGCGTTATCCGCTCGCGGGCAGCTGCCTGCAGGCCGACCCAGTGGACATCCCTTTAGCTGCAGCTCCTCCAGCTCTCCTGCTCCTCAAAACCCCGGAGCATCCCCCAGCCTCGGCCCTGGGGGCGGCTGGCTGCCTCCGCTCAATAATACTCCTTGCAGTTGGCAATGAGCGTTGTCTCTTCAAATACATCCTGCCAGAAAACCACCCAGATTTCTTTGGGTGTCTAAGTAGTGTCAAAATCGAGGATGTGTGCTTTATCTGGGTTAAAATAACTTTTTTATTTATAAGGTTTTAAAATTCAGGTTTAGAAAGATGCTTCACTCATCTCTAAGAGTATAAATCTCTAACAACTTCATTGATATTATATCTGTGAACCAACTATGAAGATCTGCCTCATCATTTCTACTAGCAAAAATAAAATACTTGTATTTTATAAGATAATATGAATACCACCTACTGCTTCAGAAGTGTTGCAGCTGTCAGGAAGGACTTCCTGTCCCCGAAAGAGCACTCTGCTCCTGCTATGAACACATCACACTTAACAGTAAAGCCTCTACAGAGATTAGCTGGCTGCATAGATATAGAAGTGATTGGAGAATTCCAGTCTGTTACTTTACATTTATTAGGGAAATAAACTGTGTTTCATGATGAGAAAAAATAATACTTAGATGTTATTTTCTGTAGTGTTTAATGCCTCTGATGAGGACAGTGGGGTCTGTAGATAATGCTAGTTGATATTAAGGGAAAAAAAATCTCCTTTCCCTCTACTTTTGCTGCTAGAATAATTTTAGTGTATATTGTTTTGTTTGGCGTAATCAGGCTGAAGTAGCATTAGTCCAGCTTCTCATCTTTTAATTACAGACAGTTTATTGTCTATGCTGTCCCACTTTCTGCATGGTTCCCCACCAGCCAGCTAGACTTAGCAATCTCCATTAATTTAATTTGGCATTTCATTCAATCAGACAGGCTGTGAACATGATGATTTTTTTTTTTTGAATAACACAATGCTTATTCTTAATTGATGTCCTTATCAGACATTGTATTTGCCAGAGCTGTAATTATTGGTCAGGCAGCAAAATCAAATCTGCCCAAATGCAGTGAAGATGTTCTCCAGTGAAATTATTAAGATACAGTACTTAGACCTGCAAAGTAATTTAGTTTTGGTCTGTAATTACATCTTTTGGGATTGTTATCTTGCTTTTTACTCATAAGGATAGTATAACCTCTGAGGAATTAATTTGCCAAATACGAAGATAGAGCTGAGATCCTTGCCATAATATATATTTGTGCCAGTAGATATTACTCTGTATAAAAGTATGAGCATGTTCATACCATAAAAGAATGATTTTTATTAATGGACATATTTTAAAAATATGGCTTGTAATTTTACTGCAGAAGTACTGGAAATTTAATCTTTTGAGGCTGCCACTTTCCATAAGAAATATATTGACATTGCAAATGATAAATTTGGATGTATAACTATCTAAAATATGAATGCAAGAAGATATCTGCATAGTACTTTGACAGAAACTAGTTTAGTACCAGTTCAGGTCATAGTTCTTCATGAAGCCAGCGTGAATTTAGTGTAAATACACTATCCTGAGAAACTTTGAAATGAGTATTCTGACTTGCCAATAACAATTAATTATTGAAGGGCTATCAGTGATTGTTAAACTTGAACTCTGTTTCCCAGTAAGGGCTGGGATATAGCTTTTCAAATAAAATCATTCTGTAATCTTTTCTAGTAAATCTTTTATTTATTCCCTAGTTTATGAAATGTAATCTTTTAGTGCAGAATTATTCGCTTTCTTTTTAAGCCAAATATCTTTCCTGCATCCTGGTATGTTCTGAGATGATAAAATGTGTTTCAGTCCCATTACAGAATATTTTGTTTGAAATTTTCTTTCTGTAACCCATATTCACATTCCAGGGCTCTGGTTTTTATTCCTTGCAGCAACAATAAGTCTTCCCATGGTATTGATTTCCTTGTTGTTGCATTTTTAAATTAACCAGGAGGAAGAATTATATAAAAAGTCTAATGGGTTTGCCTGATTAATTTGACTGTTGAGCACAAAAATACTATGATTATAAAAATACAACTTTGTTCTTTGGAGATAAATAAGTGGGTGCCTGTACTTTCAATTTTAAGTTACTTATTCATCTCCATATTTGCACTTTTGGGGTACGGAATAGTGGGTGTGAGCGTTAATGTTTTGAAGTTAATTTAGGTTTGGCTGATTTAAGGCAGAAATGTGCAAAAGTTGTAATGACGTCTAATGACTAAACATTGCAAGTAATTAATTTCTCCATTAAAATCAGTCAATAGCAAAATTTCCACTAATGTTTTTTAAGTCCAGAATGTGATTCTGTGTATCTATAACAGTTTCAAAGTTCTTCCTTTCAGTCATGGCCTATGATGACTCAGATTTGCAGACACCAGAGTGTTTCTACAGTGTAAACTTCTATTGCAGAGGCTTTTGACTCATCACAGTTCAAAAGAAGCACCAAGCCAACAGCCTTTATTTAACCTTCTGAGATTACTGAAGATTTTTTGGGGGCAGGAATTTGAACTCTGTGAACATTTAATCACTGATCTGCATTCCCAGTTCCTAAGGGTTTTTTTTTTTTTTTTTTTTTAAATGAAGCTCACCATGTAAGACTTCTATCTTAGAACACCAGCTTCTTGCTTCATGTGAATTCATTAGCCTTAGGGCTTTCAGGACCAAAAAAAAAAAAAAAAAAAAGCTTAAGTAAATGCAGAAGACAGCACGGTGCTGTGATGATTCAAAGCAGCAAATCTCATGACTTGTAGATTGGTATCTTAAGATTTGGCTCATGATAGTTGTTTTTTGAAAGCATGTGGTTAGTAAAAATGGGGCCCTTGTAAAACCCATAAAGCCTGGGCACGCTCAACTTGCTGATTTGGTCTTGGCTAGGGCACAGGCTGGGGAAAGACGAGAGGACGTGAATTTTCTCTTAGTGTTACATATATGCACCTTTCCGATAAAAGGTGAATGAAGCTAGATGTTGGGCTTCAGTTTTGATGGTTGAAGCTAGGAGAAGAGCTTCAATAAGCTATTTTAGAAATAATCAGTTTTCTTGAGACCGTCAACTGGGCATTGGTATGGAGACATTCAGTCAAACTCATAGCAGCCTTCAGGTCCATTTTTGCAGATTTCAGTAGAGCCAAGTTGAAATCTAACTGCCCTTCTACCGTAAAGGGCAGGGGACTAAACTGCCATAGTTTTAATGGTGTGATTTTCATGTGGAATGAAAGCTGCAGTTCACAGAAAAATTCAGAAAAGTTTTCATTTGCTTGCAATCAATTTCCATAACATCAGCATGTTGGTATAGTCTTTCTTTTGTGGCACTACTCCAATCTCGTTTATCAAAACTTGGAATGCTGTGCTGAATTTCTAAAATTAAGGAAAACAAATAGTGGGTTGTAAGACTGCTGTGCCTCTTATTTGGATGCCATCACAGATATTGCTTGAAAATGCAGGATTTATGACTATTTTGGTAAAAATGGGCTTATGATGTGTACTGCCAAAGGAGGCTGAACAGGTTTTATTCCCTGTAGCAATAAGAGTTAGAGTGCTTAGAGACCCTGAGCTGCAAAGGTTTGTGAAAAACAGTACTAATTACTATGGCTAAGTAGCTCGCAAGGTGTTTTGAGACAAGCAGATAGTTGGGCTAGATGCTGCCTCTCAATCATCTTGTGTCCCACTGAAGTGCAGCAGGTGGGATACCCCAAAGAACACCTCAGCAGGCTGAAGTGCCACATGCGGCCTTTAATTTGGCTGCCTCTTGCCAAGGGCAGGAATGTTCAGGGCTGTTTCTGAGGGGTCTGGGCAGGTGACGCTTCAGAAGATTGTTGACTGCAACAAGAGTCATTTCACCAAAAAAAAATCTTTCCAAAATTATTTTACTAAAATAGACAAGAACCCCTTGTTCTATTTAGAGTGATTTATAACTGTTCCCAGCTGATCACAAAGTGTTTCTAAATTAAAAGCCATTAATTATAGCCTTATATAGATACAAAGATATGCAAGAAGTGCTTTGTAATTCCAGCTCTGCACTTCAGGTGAGAGCTTTTTAAATTACTTGGACCATTGGAACCACCTGCTTGACTAAATGCTGAGGGCCCTGTGTTTCAGTACTCATCAGTGCATTGCAGTGTTAACATTGTTACTGATTTTTCTCATTTCTCCAGGGCAAATACTAATTAATGGATACAATTCACAGCTGATTAGCTGTAGTTTCTTCAGTAATTACATTCGCAGACTAACTGTTCAGAAGAGGATTTCTAACCCAGTTCTTATTTCACTCTAAGCTTAATTTGTTTTCTGAATTGTTTAGGTCCTTAAGATAATAACCATTTTATTTTCTTTCATTGTTATAGGTACCATTGGATAATAAGGAAGTTTAATCTTAAAAATGCTCACTGATAATTGTCGTGTGCCTTAAGTGGATCCTTAATTCAGAGAGGAAAAATAAAGAGTTTTAGCTATGATCCATACTAACAAAAGCTTAACTATGCAGGTTCTGGTATCAGTGCCTGATTCATATACAACAAATTCTTAAATATTGAAACCTCAAAACAGAGTGAATGTAAGGATTATACAACAAATTCTTAAATATTGAAACAGAGTGAATGTAAGGACATATAGCTGTAACTTTTTGCTTTATTTTTCTTCATTTTCCTTCCTCACTCTTAATATTAAGTGGAAAATTGTCATTTTCTCTATTGTTTTACTTTAATAAAGAACAAAGGAAGAAGAACACTTTGCATTTGAATCAGCAGTACTGTAGTAGGAGAACATATGTAGATCCACCCAACATAAAAAACCCCATCAGATACGTTCCCATTTTGAGATGCTATAGCTCCTGGGAAGTTAAGCTCATTAAAACAAGCTAAGTTTGTTCCCAAATATTTACTCAGCAAGAGCCACCTTTGCCTGTTGGACCTATTAGCACTTGAGTATAATTTGAAAAACTGACGCTGGGAGAAGTTACTGTATTAAAAAGTTATTCTAGGAAAGAAAAGCTTCTTTGCAGCCATTTGAATTTTTTTTTTTTCCCATGTAAATACGTCTTAGTTCCTCTCTGACGTGCATGGAAGTCTATCCTGTTGATCTCACTGGTGAGCTTAAGCACTAAGTCCTTGTGCCAAAAATACATGTGCACACATGCATGCACACAAAGCCGTGTTTGCCAAAAAATAACTTGTCTGTGCATTTTTCTTTAATTTAAAAGACTGGGCAACTTTTGGGCATTTAAAATGGGTGATGTTCCTTGAGTATTTGTCTAACCGAGTAAGGATGACAGAGTTTAAGTAGCTACAAGGCTACATATTTTGTTAGGCTCCTAATGCTTAGCTCATGTTGCATGTTGAAATTTTGAGTATGCGAATAGAGTTTTATACTTGAGGAATCCAAGTCTGGTTGCTCCAAGAGGTGGCTGTCTAGTCCACTTCTCCTTGCTCTGCATGGGTGTCATCGGTTTTGGCTGTTTGGCCAGCCTGGCCTCTCAGCCAGTTTCCTCACCATGTGCACAACGTGCCAGTTACTCGTGTCCATCTGTTTTTTTTTTTTTTCCAAAGAAGATATCACAGGATGTCAGGAATACATCCTGAGAGGAAATGTCTCCCTTGCCCCCAGCTCAATTCACCTCCCCAGCACTAGGTGCCTTGGAGTGTGGAAATGTTTCAGACCTCCACTCTCCCCATCAGCACCCCAGGGCAGTGGTGGCCACATGAGGGATCCTGCCAGAGCAGCCCCTTTCCTGAAAGCCCCCAGATCCATTTCTCAAGATCAGACATGAGCCAAACAGAGTAAAAGAGGAAGAAGAGAGAACTATATAAGGAAGGATGGAAAACAAACAGTCTCTGTCATCTCTGTAGTTACCTGTTGTCATACACCTGTGGCAGAGGTTAGCCTGCTGCTAGGGTTTGCCACTTATATTTATTAATGTATTGACAAAGAGAAAAAAAAACTTTTTTTTTTTTTCCTAAAAACCTGGCCAGATAAAGCCTTCCTTAGAAAGTGTGAGTTGCAGAACTCAAAAATAGAGACTTAAGGTAAGGATATTCAGCGTGGCCTCAGCAGGAGAGAAGTGATGGGCATTGTAAAGACAGCACAGAGACTTTTCTCTATTTTGTTGCTTTCATTTTGCTTCACAATATGCTGTGCCTGATCATATATTAGAAACGTGGAAATGTGCAAGTTGGTGGTTTAGTGTTTACATGGCAGCTTGTGTCGTGCATGGTATTGATTCTTTGAAGTAAGGACTGTAGAGTACCTGTGTCCTCTGAGAAAATGAGCAGAAATACCTCCCAGACTGCCAGCTTTTTTGCTAATGCCATTTAAGGGAATAAGGCAAACTAAGGGCCACTTAGCCAAATGCTGATCATCTCTTCTTTACTGTGCTCACTCCCTAAAAGAAAAGCATTTACCTTTACCAATCAATGGTCACAATGGGGTGCTTGGAGGCATCTTTGACCATCCATATACAAGAGCCCATGAGTTGCATCTCAGTGGAGCGGTCACTCAGCCTGCTCCCCCCTCACACCTTTAAGATCTCAGCAGTCTCAGTTTCTTGGATTTGTAAAACCCTCAGTGAAAGCTTCTGGCCGTAATGTTCCCAGGGGTTGTGGGAGCTCAGCTGGAAGGAAGGATGGGCAAAGGGGAGTTGTTTAGCTTTTTATTATTGTGTTGAGATTGGGATTTAAAGGAAATGCTGTAGACTCTCTGCCTTCCCCTCTTGACCTTCATCTCTTTAAAACCAGCTCCACTCTGAATAATGTTACAATAGGTTTTCTAGCTACAGCCATCCTCAAGATCAGGATCATCTGTAGAAATACAATAATGTCTGTTCGGAAAGATGCCAAAGAGTGAAAATGCCCTTTCTGGAGGGCAGTATTTCTCCAAGGGACACTGAATTTCCAGAGTTTGCTCCATAGCCAGGGAAGGCTGAAGAGCTGTGCTCAGAAGTCTTCCACCTGCAGCCTGTGTCCTTTGGTCTGTGTGGTAACAACAATAATGCTAAAATTCAATTTGGTTCTAATTTCAGAACAACATCAGCAAATTTACATCTCACCTGTTTTTCAGAAGCAGTCCTTTTCTATAGCAGTGATGGGGTAAAGAAAGGTTTGTCATGGCATGCATTAAAATTCTTTTTTTCTTTTTCCTCCAGTTTGGAAACAATAACAACTACATGAACATGGCAGAGGCAAATAATGCATTTCTTGGCGCAAATGAGGTAGATGGTTTTTCTTTTTATCTGTGTTCATAGTCTGCTGTTTGCTTTGATAATTTAACAGACTTTGAATGGCTGAAGAGTGAAGTGCTGAATTTGTGTGTGTTTTATGGAGCACAAAATAAAGACTTTAATGAGAAAGAAAATAACCTGACAGCTCTCCATTACTAGTCAATTTAGCTGCCCATAAGGCTGTTACTTACATAGCATGTCAATAGAAACAAATCTGCTTTATGTATGAAAAAAAATATAAGCAGAAGGAAACAAAAGGCACAGTAGGTGTATGTTTGGAAGGCAAGCTTAGTAATATGCCTTATTAGCTAATGTGCTAATTCCAGCCAAGGATGCAAAATTTTTGTTTGGATTCTTAATGCTCATCTAAATTAGAAAAACAAAACCCACTTTGTTGCCTGGCATACGTGTGCTGGGTGAAAAGGGGTCAAACTTCCAGCAAGGATGCAGAGCAAGGCCCTGCGTCAGCGCTGCGGGTCGAGCTGGCCATTTGGTCACTGGCTTTGAGAAGGAGCTACATCAAGGTAGACGGTGCATCACCTGCCATGTTCCTATATTTGCTCTTCTGGTGGCACCTCGTTGCAGCAGGACGCAGCTCCAGGCAGAAGCCCCGTTTGCCCATGCTGAAGAGAGAGCAGCTCTGCTCCCTAGGGCCGCGCGGGGCAGGATGGCCCTGGCAGCAGCAGGCAGAGCTAAGCACACGCGTGGGGTAAATGCCAGAAATGATCTTTCAAACATAAGGAGTAGTTAGAAAAATGGGCAGCCTTGCCTTTGCCTTGTATGCTTTTAAAAAGGTTATCTGGGAGAAAATAAGTAAAAAGGTGTAACGGTAAATGCGAACATTAGAATTAAGAGTAGTATTTTATGAATCATTTATACAATGGTCACCATCTCTTCCTCCCCAGCAAGACTGCTTAGATAAGGGAATATTGTTTGGCACTGGCTCCAGTGTTATTTGTGATAATGAACACAAACCCCATCTGTAATGACAACATGATGTTTCTTTCTGTTGAATTTCTTTCCTACATTTGAATCAAACATTGATGAAAGCTCTGCTGCCAGCAGCTGTTCAGAGACAATTTAATTCCAGCTGTGATAATTCACCGTGTCAGACATTGGCTGTTATATGTTGATACAACAGTTCTCCAGATTTGCATTTTTATCAAAAGGAACAAATGTTTTGAACATTTCAGTACAGATGGCATTTAACCATGCACACAGTTTTTTTTTAAGCATGTAAAATATAAATATTTGAAGAGTTAATAACTTCAAAAATACGATTGGTAAGATAAATCCCACAAATGTTACAGCATCTTGGTCATCACAGCACCTCTCTGCAATCCCAAATTGCATACTATTCAGATCTTTTTTACAGTCTGAATAGCCCAGTGATTTGGATTTAAGACTACTTCACTGAGTGGCTTTTTCTCTTCTTAAATTACATCTATTTCATCTTCATTCTTAGGGTCTTTATATGTTTTTTTAAAAAAGATATATACATACATGGAGAAGTTATATTGCGAGAATTAAATTCACATTTACAAAATGCTAAGGTATTCATCAATGTACTCTTTTTTTCTAGTAAGCCGTAACTATTAAGATTAATGCAGCTTTGAAGTAAAATATTGTATTATTGTATAGCTGTGTTACATATTTATACAGCTGTGTCTGATTTATCATGTTAGATGGGGAAGGAAGGTTCAATTCTTATAATTACTACTATCTCATGAATATGACATGTAAAGAGATGTTCAGAGGTACTATAATAATACTGATCTCACTGAACACCTTTGCTTGAACAAGGAATAAAAATATGATTAAGTGTTAGTGCGTGCATTAAAGCATGAATTTAACATGCAATTACTGCATTACAATATATTTAATTATAGTGTTTTTACATTAACATGAATGTAGCTTTTTCACTATGATTGTGGACGTAAGCACGGCTGAGCTGGAAGTCCATTTTATTCCTGTAAATAATGCCTTAATGGTATAATCCTAGTAAATCTTCAGGCTAAGAAGCCACATATTTGCTTTGTTTTTGGTCTCTGTGTCATGATTACCATGACCCATTTTAAAGCACCTTAAATATTTATTGAAATAATATTTCAAGTGTTAATTACAGTGGTAATGAAAACAGCCAAATGCCACATATCAAGAATGAGTGTTTATCCGTATTGTTAATGTGATATGTTAGATTTCATTAAGCAGTAATGGGGTAGCAAATGAGTCACAAATTACAGTTGCATCTGTTACTAGACCACATTAGTGCCAAAATAACTGCAAATGCAGCCATAGGGTGATGTTCATTAGCCAACCACTTCTCCTGGCCAATCCGTCCTTTGTGTTGGTAAACTCAGGGCTCCCTGGAAAGGAAAATTCCCCCCTTGGTCATGGAACCATGGACACCCTGTGTCCACAGATTGCGGCCCAGCCTTCCCGCTCAGGCTGGAGTTGCAGGACATGCTGCCGAGCTCCATTGGGAGACTCTCTGCTGCCTTTTCCCATGTCGCAGCCTGGGACCTCATCACTTCTGGTGTGAGCCCAGTAATGACAGCTGACAGGTTCGATATGCAGGCAAAGGTTTTCCTCATGTTTCCGTTTCCATCTTCTCTCAAGCGGTTATTAATTTATATCATCATTAACAGCTTGAAGGATGACAATTTACGACAACTAATGAGATCTTTCGCTGAACATACCATTTTTAAATTAACTGGCATTAAGTCACTCTTTCAAACAATGTAAATAATCCATAAAACAATCCCTCCCTGCAACCACAATTTCTCAACTAACACAAACAAACCAACCCCCTTGCACGTCCAAAACGAGACAACGTGCCTCTTTTAGGATTGCCAACTGCCCCATTTTGTCGAGGTGGTCTCGATTTGAGTACGTATAAGACAGCCTAATTTCAAGCTCTGTGTTGCTATTATTAAGCAGCAGTGGGGCTGAAATAATACAGGAAATTTGAATGAGGGGAGCTTGCGTGCTCTTCAAGTACAAGTCAGTGCTGCTGCAGCCAGACACTGACCCTTGTGGGGTAAAGATGATCCCTGACAGACATGTGCACGCGTAGCCCTGCAGATAGTTGGCAGCGAGTGCCTTGCTCAAGGCAAAGAGCTAACAGGTGTTGAGGCCGTTGTACTGTTTCATGTTTGTTAGTGGCTAAAAAGGAAAGGAAGGAGGTGTGGTGGGGTTGGTGCTGGGGTGTGAGCGCTGCACAGACGGGGAGTGATGGAGCATGAGTGTGGCCGAAGCTGCCAGTGCTACTGCCCTGACGTATCGGTAAAGTGGCAGTTTGTTATACAGCCAAATCCAGCATAGCTGATACTCAGCCTCACAACAAAGACAGATGTTGCTAATTAAGCACGCATTAAAAAACTGTTAATACTGATACCCTATTAAAGCCGTATGATAATGAGACCTAAATCTTCACTTGGAACAATTTGCAAAGCCCTTTGTACGTGCCATGACCCACAGCATGGGCGCTGGGAGGGCGCGTGGCCAGAGCAGGCCATGGTGGTCGCCCACGCGGCATCAGGACAAGCATGCCCTCACGGATCTCTGTGCCGTGCTTTCCCCAGCAGACCTTCCACACGCCGAGTCTGGGCGACGAGGAGTTCGAAATCCCTCCCATCACGCCACCGCCCGAGGCGGAGCCCGGCCTGGGCATGGCCGACGTCCTGCTGCCCTTCACCGGCCTGGGAGAGCAGCTGCCCACGCCGGGCAGTGAGTTCACACCGCAGTTTCCTCCGCAGAGCTTGGACTTGCCCTCCATCACCATCTCCCGGAACCTGGTGGAACAAGACGGCGGCGTCCACAGTAACGGGCTGCACATGGTAAGACCTGTTTCTCATGCCTCTTGGTTTCGGCTAACCTCTTGGGAGGCGCGCGTGGTTTCTTGGTGTTTTGGTGCACCAAGGATTTGCTGGTGATTGAGCAGTCATGTGCCTGGCGAGGGACGGTATGTGCTGACATGTTCGTGGGGTGCCCGGCAAGTGTTTAAGTGTTTCATATTGGTGGATCAATGGAGATAAACATCGCTCTTAAGATATAGGGTAATGCTACCACATTGTGTGCAAACTGTCCGTATTTCAAATGCGGGGACTAGGTTTCATGGTCATCAGAGATTTCTTGAAATCATTATGTTGGGAGTAGCTTAGAAAGGGAGATGGGTACTATGCCAGCAGTAATGAACAAATAAGTAAAGAAATAAAAATCTTTTTGTTCTGTGTGTTGCATGGGATAGATCCATACAAATGGAAATGCAATTTCTTAAGCTTGTGAAAGAGGCGGTAGGTACCATCAGTACCACCACCCCATGTAGAAGGATGGGGCCGTAAAAAGACCGTCCTGCACCCACAGCTGCCGTGGAAGTCACGACGGTGGAGGGTGCGTGGCCACCGCGGGTGTCTGCTGCCTTCACGGCAGCGCATGAGCAGTTTCCACTTTCCTCCTGTCTTTCCCTTTCCACCTTGGAGAGCATCTCCAATGCCTGGTTCTCCCTGAGCTGGCACATGCAGTGTTCATGTTCCCCATGCTCAGATGTAGCTCTGAGTCATACTTAGCATTTCAAACTCAATGGCTACAATTAGCATTACTTTCTGTATTGCATATTGAAGAGAGGACGAATGTTTAGCTGAACAGTTTACATTGACTATATTTATTCTGATCAGTGGTTTCATAGAACATTTTGCTAAAGTTGGTGGAACGGAACTGCAGATTTATTGGTTGTCTATAATAAAGGTCATCGTGTTGACATGTTCTGATTTCACGTAAATCATTTGTTCTGTTTAATTATTCTGGTGAGTGACAATTAATTAGAGATTTACAAGTCTGTGCAGCAAAGGTTTTCCTGCAACTCTGCAGGCTTCGCTGCAAGTGTGAATGTTTCCTCTGAGGTCCCGCGAAGCAGCTAACGCGTGTGGAGGAGTAACCAGGGACCGCAGGCAGAGTTTGGTGCCTCTGCAGTCATGGTGGGCCCGGATGGCTACGACCCTTCCTGCCACACCTCGTTTTGCCTGGGCTTTCTGCATGCCCGGGACATGTTGGGTCACAGAAGATGAAAAGACTAGTAATGCCATAGGTTTTAGAGGCAGGGATTTTGTGTACGAAAACTGAAGTGGTAGCGTATGCGTACGCTGAATCCGATGAAAGGCACTCAGGAACGTGTAGTCAATGTCGTGGGTTAGATCAGTCTTACGTGACGTGTGTAACAGTCTTCTCTGTGTTATCATGTGGTTTGTAACCTGCAAGAGGTTTGGCTTTTCATTTTGCACGCTTTCACTAAAATGTGATCTTCCTGAATAAAGGCTGTGTGTCACCTTCGCACCTCCTGCCTGAGGACGCCTCCTCTAGCCAGGGACCACTTCTCTCAGCCCCTCTCCCAGCGGATGAGAGGCTTTCCCTCCTGCCTCTTCTCTAGCTAGTGCAATGCAGACATTAATGACAGAGCTCCTGTTGGCTTCAATGGCAAGACTTTGACCCAGAACATGTTGAAGAGAGGGCCTACAGGACCGCGTACCATCAAGAGTCCGGTCATGTTTTTAAGGGTAGTGGCCACTCCAGAGATGTGATCTGGGGACTTGTGTGTTGCTTTGTCCCACTGGAATATTTGGTCCCAGATAAGAAAATGCTTGATGGGGAGCAGCCAGAGGGGTAGATGTGTGGGCGAGGTGCCCGCCTCTTGCTGGAAGTTTTGCGTGTTGGTGCCAGGTGGAAGGACCCATTCCCTAGTATTTTAGTTATCGATCTTTTCTGTGCTCCTCATAAATGCTGGGTAACTTAGGAACTTAAAAAATATTAAGAGGGTTCTTGCACAGGTTTGCCCTGGACTCCTCTAGCTCACTTTAGTACTGAGCTTTTCCAGTAGTTAATCTGTATTTCAAAAACTGAAAATGAAAACAGTATATCATATTTTATGCTGAAAATGTGCACTTTATTAAACTGGTAAATATTTATTAATAATATTAGAATTCATCTTTAAATTAGACATTTCATGAATTACCTTGCCTTGGAGCTATAAAAACTTTATTGCAGCAATAAAAAAAAATGTAAAGGAGGCATTTTGACTATGAAATTTCATTTCATGGTCAATTGAATTTACTATATCTGAAAGAACTAAAGATGGGGCTGTAAAATAATTATGATGTTCGTATACACTTACAGAACAATGTTCTTTTGCAGTGATACTAGAATAGTCTTATTTAAAGGCTGTATTAAGAGTGTGCTGCTAATCACTAAAGCTTCTTTAGCTGAATGCAAAGTTAAATTATTGTAATATGAACTACAGCAAGTTTATTGCTTATCTTCTGAAGCATTAGGGAGCTTTACTGTAAGCAATATTTAATTTAGATAAATGCAGTCCTGCCCTGTTGAAAAGTCCAGTAGAAGAATTTCACCTTGAAGAAATGTCATGAGATTTTAAATCACAAATGTTGAAAAAATAAAATGGGCTTGGACAGAATTATGATTAATACTATGTGTCTTTGGCTTTTTTCTATGTACTACCTGACATGTTCACCTATAAACTTGAATGCAGAATCGCCAGAGGCATGGTTAAAAATAGGTTATGTCAAGGTCTCCTATGTCTCCCTTAGGGTATGGAGTTGGCTAGCTACCTCATAATACTTTTGCAAGTACCTCACATATTTCCCACAGGAAGAGCAGGAAGGAAAACAAAAAACAAACAAACAAAAAAAGGAAGAAGAAATAATTCTTTTTAACATACTCTTTTAATATATCTTTTAACATATTGGGTGCATTATATTGATAATTAATTCACAGTGCAAGAGCAATGTTTATTCTCATAATAAATCAGCCCTAGGAATTATTAAAAGACTGTATTGGTGAGTTAACAATTGGCCATTTTATTAAGAACAAGATGGTTTCTGATATACAAGAGCCATATCCAGGCGTGATGCTTGTGCTATAGAGTGACAGTTTGTCACGATACTGATTAACTTCATTAATATTGCCAACAAACACAACACATTTATCTTACTTAAGGGTCTTTTACTGCGTTTAAAAACAGACAACAGCAACAAAAAGAGGAGATAAAATGAAGACAGTTTGATTAACTTTCATATTTTAATAATATGCAAATAAAATCCTGATACTCAAAAATGAACTGCTGAAAAATGGAGCGTTGATGTATGTTTGACTTCAAAGAAAGCTGTGGATTTATGCGATGCAAATGCTGTTCGTATAAATACCTGAATATAAATAAGTAGAAATCAATAGCAATATCCTCATTAAAAATCAAGCCTCACTATTTTATATTAATGCTCTGTTTTCTGTTGAGCTGGCCATACAAAAATTATTTAATCTGCAAAATGTGGCAATTCTATAAAACTACACCCGGTGCTCCTGAGGGTTCCTTTTTTTAACACCTCTCTATAATCTGCCCAGCCTGCTGAGTAGCATTGACATCAGTAGTACATCAATTTCAGAAAGTGGATTATTTTTACTAGACAGCTATTGTGACATATTGGGTCAGTCATAAATGAAAGATATTCATGCAAGCATGCAATACTTGTAATGAAGTCTCACTCTGACCTTCTGTATGATTGATTCTGTAATTTAGTTTTCTCAGGCAGTGCCTGAAATGAAATGAAATCATGTTGAACAAGTTTTGAATACCCACAGTGCACCAGGAGAAGAAAAATCTGCAGCCCCAGAGGCTTGAGAGAGAGCAGCTGAACGATTTATCTCCATGCTATTATAGCCTTTGCCAGCATTCAACATTTCTTTTTTTTTTTCCCCTTTTTTTTTTCTTATTTGGCTTAAGTACTTAATTCTGCAGGTAGCTGTAAATGGGAAAATAAAATGCTGTTCAGATTTAAAATGACAGGACAGGAGTATGTGCAGGGGACTGATAAAATATCTTGAATAGAACTGACCTTTCATGTAGCTGAAAGTTACTGGGGGATTCATCCTCATAATTACCATATAGATTATTTTTATTTCTTTCCTGCAATGAAACATTTCAGAGAGCAGTAGTGCTGATTGAATGAAAATTGAACTTGTTAACATTCTTTTCAGCTTAGCCTGTTGTACATAACAGAAGGTTAGCTTTGATGAATTTCAAAATTCTTTCTCTGATATCTAAGAAAGACAGTACAATAATTGTCTCTTTTGAGGCTGATCTTTTTTTTTTTCCTTTTATTCAAAAAAGTACAGATGTTCCAGAAACAGACTGTTAATTTTACATATGCTGGTCCCTATACTACTCAAGCTTTCAGAGAAATTGTGCTCCCTCTTTGATGAAGACTGGAGCCCGTTTATGTTTTATAATGGTTGCAGTGCTGTGGGTCTGTGTAGGCTTCTGCACAGCTAAGGCTAATTCATGGAGGAATAGGCACATCTTTAATTATATTGCTGCTTAGGAGTGGCACTGTGCTCAGATCAAACACTAAAGGTGGCTATTGCTGCTGTTTCAAGAAAAGGCTTTAAATAAACAGCTCAATGATGCGGCTTTGAAGAACTGAGTTGCTAATTTTAGCTTGTTAAAGGCAATGCAGAATGTCATTAACGTTTCAAAATAGTGGTGCCTTTTACTTAAAAATCTTCAATTTTACTGAGTCCATTCCCAAATTCCTAATTTACTTTCTCAGATAATAGATTACCAGAAAAAACAGAAGCTAAAAAAGTTGCTTGAAAATTGGCAAAAGCCCTGATTTCACCATGCACCTGCCTGCATGCCTCTAATTTGTATGTTTAATTTTCCATTACAAAAAACTTATTTTCAAATCTCTCTTTTAAAATCCAGTCTGTGATCATATATTTAAGGAGAATGGAGTAGATTTTCAGTTAATGCAATGTTATAACAACATTGTTT